TGGAGAAACTTAACACATATGGAGTTACTAGAGTTAACAATACTTACAACCAATACTCATGATCCCCACACATTAGGGCCTTTGTATATTAAAATTCTATGCATTCATTTTTACTTAATGCAACAAATAAGCTTAAGTCAGTTAAATGAAATACCAAATATAAAGTAAAAGACAAATAAAACCTAACTTCAAAACAAAGTTGCCAGATGAAATAGAATATGCTTAGTTCAAATATGAATTTTAGATAAACAGCAAATAATGTTTTAGCATAATTATGTCTCAAGCAATATATTTGCTTTCTTTCCAGGAGACACCCCCACCTCCCCACCTTAGCTTTTTCTTAGAGGGAGGAAGCTTTAAAGTCCTTCTTCAGACTCTAGATGAGGGACCTGAGAAAATAGTTTGAACTTGTTTCCTTATCTGTGTAATTACAGTATCCACCTCAGGGCTTGTGAGGTTCAATTGTGATAAGTTATATAAAGTGCTCAGTACAATGCCGGCCACACAATGGGTACCGATGCCATTTCATTCCACTTTCAAAGTAGTTACTCTGTTGTTATCCCAAAACATATATCAGTAACTGATAGGTTTTCTGGCAGACTAGTGTCAATCAATGTATTTATTGAACTCGCATAAGGTGTCATGGAACACAGTAAATAGAAAACAGCACATGCCTATGACATTGGAAGAAAAATACCTCCATGCTATTATTTAAGAATAATGGCTAAAGCAGTTTGTGGTATTCTAGGGACTTGGTGTATTTCTAGCATACCTATGAAGACACGGAAGACGGGGAGCTTTATTTTGTCTTTGACTTGGTTCTTTCTTCACTCCTTCCATAATGGCGAGGTAACATTTCCTCTCTCAGAATCACTCATAATTTAACGTCAAGTGACTGATCTACATGTTATCTACTTGAATAAATTCATGTTCAGTGCAAGTCATCTAGAATAAGTGTCTTCTACTTGTAGCCCAAGGAGTCTAGCTGGCACTGGCATTCTGAGATAGCGCACTCACTGGGTTTTATGGCATGGATTGTTTTGGGGTCTTGTCCCAGGTTCGCGTCTTCACATTCATTGCAGTAGCTTCTCCCAGCTTCTTCAGTAATAAGGTGTTGATTTAGTAATAACCACACATTTTTGTTGAATCTTTACCCCATTGCAGATATTTTATAAATATTAACCATTTTATCCTTTACAACCACCATGAAAAGTAGATGCATAATCCCAGTAAATCAGATGGGGAAACTGAGAAAAAAGAAGTTTCCAAATTCAGGAAACCAATATACAACATAGGTAGAATTTTAAATGACTGTGCTGTTGGTGGTACATCTCTGCTTAGGCAATACCTTAGCTGTTCTTACATGGCTACAGAAAAATGAGGAGGGGAAAACCCATATACCCTTCATCTTCCATTATTTTATTTTATCCTATTTAATGGGCTGGCTTATACAACTTCTTAAGGACACAGATATGGCTAAAAGGTCAGTATCCTTCCAAATCATTCACTTGTGATTCTCAGTCATCTTGAAACTCTGCTCTCAAGAGAGATAAAAAACTGGTGGGCTATTGCATTTCTTAATTTCCTGCTTTAAAAGGATCTTTCTTTCTCAACTCTTTTTTCTTTGTCCTTGTGCTGAGTCAGTGGCCTGGGTTGGGGGTTGTGAGGAAATAGGTTGGGGAGGCAGGTCCAGCCTTACTTTTTTGGCAGTGAAAGCGGTTAATAGCTCAGGGAGAATGGGCTCCTTGTTGAACACCGCTGGCAGCACTGCCTCTGGGGAGCGTTTGGTTGGCTTGGGGTGATGTCGTGAGCCATCCTTGGTTAGAGGATGGAGCGTGCTGGGACAAATGGTGACTGGTGTCTCTTTTGTTTGATTACCAATAGCTTCCAAAAAATGAATGTAGGACAAAGACACTATGAGGGAGAATGGACAGCATAGCCTTGTGGTCCCAGGAAGGCTGGGGGCTTCTCTCTCTGTCTCTTGCTTCTGGGGGAAATCACTCTCTTATGAGGCTCAGTATCTCCCAAGAACTGAGAGGTGCGGTACATATTCCTGAAAGTCACAGTGACAGGTGGGAATACAGCCAAGTGCCCCACACCATTCATTCATCATCTCACGTTAACAAGCTGTGTTGTGCAGGGCTCTCATGGGCCAGCTTGGACCAGGCAGCTTTTCTGCATTCCTGGCTTCCTGGAGGGAGCTGGCTGTTTCACCTTGACTGACCTTGTGGTAGAGTGGTGGAGCATTTGGAGAAGTGGATCAATTTCTTCAGGAGACATTCCTAATGTTTTATTTTGTGCTTTACATGCTCAGTAAACTCATTGCCTTTCCCTAGGAACTCTTTAAAGTAGGTACAATTTCCTCTGTTTTACAGAATTCTTAACTGAGACCCAGGAAGCTAAATCAATTCCCTAAGACCCACAACTGTTGGTAAGAACAGGACTCGAACTCCTGCTGACCCTACTGCTGATACTGACTCGGCTCAGCTGGGCTATTCACTGCAGTTCAGTGAATAGTCTTTCCCCAACCCTTCAGAAATGTGGACACTAATGGTACTGATGAGCAAGGATGGCGATCATCGCAGAAAGGATGAGCAAACCTTTCACTGGAAGCTCTTGGATTTTCTTTGAATTTCATCTTGTCTGACTTACAGAAATTAATGAGCTACTAGATCTGGACCTGGTGTGCCTGGATAAAAGGACTTATTTTTAGTGCCTTAGCATTTAAAAGGATCTGTTATAATTTCATGCTTAAATAACACTAAATAAGGGTCTGTGTTTGTCTAGCATAATTGGAAGAAGCAAAGGAAAAGGGAAACAGTTACTTCAAACAAATGGCACGAATGCATCTTGGGAGAAATCTGAAGATAGGTACCCGAATAAAACATCACAGGAGCTGCATTACCCTTGCAGAGCATGTCCCCCAGGTCAGAGACGGCCTGTGCGGACACAAAGATCCACACAGCCCAGCTGGGGGCTGGCGGCGGGGTTGGAAGTCAGGGCAGGGCCACCTCGGTGACGAAGCGCAGCCATCCATCAAACAGCCAGTGTGGGCTGCCCACGGCTGCGGAGAACACAGGAGCGAGGTCCCCTCCCTCTTGGATTCTCTCAGGGATGATTTTGTGACGTGTCTCTTGGCCTTTAACATCGCCATCCTCAGGGCCTCTGAGACCACCTGTTGCAGTTCCCAAGGCAATGGGAAAAAGCTGGTTGAATTAAAGACGGGGGAAGTTTGGAGACTATGAACTGACACAGGACTGCTCGCCCAGACCTCTGGGGCCCTAAGACTTGAGTGGCTCTTCTCCGCTGCCTCCTGGAGGACCTTCCCTAACCCCTTTCCTGCTGAACATCTCGGCTGGTCCCCGATGGCCACGCCCCTCTCCACCCTCACCCAGCGTAGGCTCCGCCAACCCCTTTCTCCCACAGTAGTTTTGTTTTGTGCATTTGCATTTCTGCTGACTGCAAGGATCAGCTTAATTTCATGGGTGTCATTTCCTTCAAGAAATCTCTGCCTGAGCAGCGGCCCATCGAATCCCCGCTAAAACATATTTTCCTACGGTAATGATTTTATGGGCCCATAAGTCATGAATTTATTATGATCTCAGCCCCTGCTGCTGATTGCTGTAAAATGCAAAGTAATTAACAGCGAGCGGTAGCAGTTATTCCCACCTGGTAACGTGTTCCTTCGTTCGCTGATGGGTTTGATTAAAGTAATGACTAAAGAGTGAAGCCCGGCTGTAAAATATTAGCATGATTAATGCTGTATCCTAAATAAGAAACAAAACTAACAAGCACGGTCTGAGAAATTTAAAAAAAAAAAATACACGATCCTTCCTCTCCCCCCATTCCCACCTCCCTTAAGCAATTGTTCTGGCTCATTTCGAGCATGTCTTCCTTCCCATTAAATAATGTATGGATTCCAAGGCCAGGGGCTGCCTAGCAGAGCATATTACGCAGCTCCTACAACATCAAAAGTGCTGGTGGTATTATTTTTTCTTTTCCTCTTGGATTTTGAGAATAGAGCTGGATGGGGTATATTTTGAGCTACAGCCTGCTTAGCTGCTGAATTGTTACCTCCTACTCCACGTCAGGGGCCTGGCTTTGTGGTGCCACCAACTGAGAGAAAGATGGTCAGGGGTGAGAGGGTCTTTGGCAACTTTCCTCTTCCCTTGACCAGCTGGAGCCAGGAGAAAAGCCGTGGGGGTCAGGTACAAGATTTCCAGGAGCAACCTGAACCAAGGAGATAGGATCGAAGTTAATGACTCAGCTTCACCTTTCCAACATCAGGAACACCTCATCTGGACTGGAGCACTGGTCTCAGAATAAGAGCTCACACAAATGCCTCCTGTGGTGCCCACTTAGCTATCTTCCTGATGTTATAAAAAGGTCTGAGCTTCTTGAAATTCCTCCTTTTCTTGGATGATCAAGTAGGAGGTTACTCGGGAATGGGCTTGGAGGCAATTCTTCTGGTGGAATGCCAGGGCTCTGACCTCTTAAGTCTGAGAGCACCCCACATTCCAGAGAGTCAGAGGCTGTGAACAGTTCTCTTGGAGTACTTATGGCAGAGGAGAGGGAGGCACAGTTGGCTGGGACTGGGCTAGAGGAGGCGGCCTGCCAAGAGGTCCTGGAGAGGTAGACAGCTGCCTTTGGCCTTCTCTAGTGGCTGCTAAATTAATTTCACACTTTCTTTTGTAGATTGGCAGAGAAAGAGCAGGAGGGGAGTGAGGATATGCTGGAAACTAGGCGCCAAAGGAGAATCCTCAAGTATTTGGCTCTGGAAAGATAAAGGATGGCCTTTCTGATGACAGGGTTAACCAATGGCTGGAAGACTGGGGTTGCTGGAAGACAAGAGTCCATTTCGTTTACTCATTATTAGATGCCTGCTCTGTGCCCGGTACAGAATACAGTCTTTGCCCCCATTCTAGAAACTCAACTAAAGTTTAAAGGTGATTTAAAAAAATCTCACTGGCACAGGGCAGGAGTAAAAGGAGAAATGAGAATAGTCAGGGACTCATTGTTATTATGCTCTTGAGGAGGACTCTGAGTGAAGGACTGGAGAAAGAATGCCGCACTGCCTGTGGGAGGCAAAGGTGGCAATTCTGCACACCCTGTGAATCTGGAAGGGGAAGACCACCTTACTACCTCATAGCCATGGATAGCAGGGAAAAGTCCCGGTAAGTCACTACGCTCTGCTTCAGGAGAGGTCAAAGCATTTAGGAAATACAAGATCTCTATGGAGGAAGAGATGCGGGATAGGCCTGAAGAGTCTCCCTTTAAAGATTTGAGGACCTCATTATGGGGAAAGAAATGATTGGCCCAGATCTGCTCTTTAAGGGGTAGCTGTGAGGTCAGACCCCATGTCTTCCCCATTAACCAGTGTCCATTTGCTTAATGGATTGTTTGCTTTTTTCTCACATGCCAAGTTTCTAGAGGCCTCGCTGGCAAACTAGCAGGTCAGCTGGCTGTTTGGGCAATCCACAAAGAATAGCAATTATATGACTCACTATCAATCCAAAGGCTGTCACCTGTGCTGCCCTGGGACTGCACTCAGCAGAAAGGCATCAAGTCTTTTTCCTATAGCAGAAAGACAGCTGCTTCCCAAGTGGAAGCCCTTTCTGCATTTTCCTAATCAGGGGTGGAGCGTAGGCAAGATGAGGTCATGGGTCAGGTGAGAGGAAATAGATCTATAAAAATACATTTTATTTTCCCCATCCCCTCCCTTGTTACTCAAAGAATGATGTTTCAGGAAAATATAATGATCCTGTGACTTTCTGCCTTTACTCCTCTAGTCCTTGCTTCTCCCAGGGATAGATGAAGGAAAAGTTATTGGGATTGAGGTGCTGGCACCAGCAAGATAAAGGTGAAGTCTTCCCTCTCTCCACCGCTGAGCAGGTCAAAAAATGATTGCATTGGGCGTGAAGGATTTATGTCTGCTGTGAGTCAGTCAGAGTGTCAGGGTAAATCAAGGCTGACATTTTTAGCATCTGGGGAAAAAAAAGCAATTGCATTTTATGTCTACATTTTGCTCGGCTAATCAAGGTGTGGAAGAAACAGTCTGCCTGGGGAAACTTCTCCACTTTTTATTATCTAGGTAGGGTTTGGTTTCCCCTATAGAAACAGAGAACTAGTCTGTAAAGGCTGCCATTTAAGGAAGGGAGAGGCCCTCTCCGGCAGAGTTGACTTGGAGAGATTAGTTGGCAAAATGTCCCCACAGCTGTGTAAGGGGACCTGGGGAGGGCTTGGATATAGGGGTCCACTGAGCAGTGTGAGGGACAGCTCTGGAGCCAGAGCATACATGCGGGCTGCCTGTGCAGACTCTCTTCTCTGTGCACATCTCAGGGTACAGCAGGGCCATGTGGGGTAGAACAGTTTGAGGCTTTTGACTAAATTGGCCAGTTACTAATTGTTGACGGATCAGTACTTTCCTGGAGGCAACCGGTGAAATAACTCAGTGTATCTGTAAAAACTCTCGAACCAGTTGATGGATGTTGATGTAGTTGAGGATCAAGCTACACTTAATGTGTGCAGGGGAAAAAGGAAAATGAACAAATCAGTAATATTTCTTCATTGTCGCGAGCCGCGATGTCAGGATCCTGCCAGCAGGTCCTAAACCTGAAAGGACGAGGACAGAGAGACGGGAGGCACCTTTCTTCTCAAGTTCCTTGCTTGCTTGCTTGCTTACTTTATTATAGAACCTCTTCCTTTTATACTCTCCAGCTGCATGGGAGCGAGGGCTGCCGCCCACACATGCCAGAGGGAAACAATAACAACCATTATGGGTTACATCTGCTACCAGCTGAACTCGCCCGTGGCTATGGGCGAGAGCACGTCCGTGCCAGCAAGGTGACTCAAAGTTCAATCACGGCTAGGCCTGTGTCAAGGCTCACCATAATGGCTCGCCATACTTCATAGCTTTCCATTTCTGAGGCTAATTTTTGGTTTAGCTAAATGATTTGCCTCAGTAAATGAGAATGTATTTGGATTGCAAAAGTCTTACATTTTGCACCAGGGATTCGAGGTTTAGCAGATGATAATCTTCATGTGTTAATGGACAGTAATCACGATGGCTATTTTTGGGTAGGGGAGGGGGATTTACCATAGTAAGTGATTAAATGTTCTGTATACATTATCTCATTAAATCTGCAGTGTCTGAGGAGCTAGTTATGATCCCTGTTTACCAATGGGGAAATAATGAGGTTGACCAGTGAACCTGAGGTCAGATCCAGATCTCCCTAGAGGCTGAGTGCTAAAGTTCTTCGAACTGAGGTTATTCTGCCTCCATCACCTTCATCCCTGACTTCTGTGCAAGGCCGCTTCAGATTCGATCAAAGCAGAGATGTAGTTTTTTAAGAACATTGGGAGTGTGAGATTCAACCAAAACCCATTTTTATAAATCTAGGTTTTCTTTTCTGGGGTCATGAAAGATGTTGGGTAGCTGGGTGTGATGGCGCACGCATGTGATCCCAGCACTCCGGGAGGCTGAGGCAGGGGGATGGTAAGTTTGAACCCAAACTGGACAACTCAGTGACTGAGTAAAACCGTGTTGCAAAAAAATAAAAAAAAAAAAAAGACTTGAGAATGTAGTGCACTTTGAAGGCCCTCGGTTTCATCCCTAGCATCTCCAGTAATGGAAAAAGAGAAAAAAAAGCTTGGGGCTCAGATACTATTCCTCAGTGTGTGTGCTTATGATAATAATAACAATTAAAGTCTATTGCTTACTTGCTATGGGCTGGGGTGTGTGTTAAAATCGTTAGGTGTGATTATTCACAGAGGTCCCACTGGCTCTAAGAAATTGCCCCTATTGTGACCCTGTGTCCCAGGCAAAGAAACTTGAGGGACTGGGAAGTTTGAAACTTTCCCTCACATTTAGCTAAGAAGTGAGAAGCAGGACTGGAAGCCCACACAATAAAGCTGTCTGTAGATAGCACTGGAAACTGCTTTTTCTGGTCAGCAAATCACATCTTGGGAGAGCAGTGATATTGGCAATGGTTAGTCCTTTGCCTTCCTTCCCGTGTGTGTGTGTGTGTGTGTGTGTGTGTGTGTGTGTGTGTGAGAGAGCGCATACCCTCAGGTAATTGCTTTGTGATGTTTTACATAACAGACTTCCAAATTTTGTTTTAAAAAAATCTTAGACCTTTGTTTATTTGCTTCTAGTTTTAAAGGAACGGGAAAGAAGGAAATTCTGAGGTTTATGGAAAGCGGCGCTTCTCAGCCCAGGGCTGTAGACCGCCTAGAAGTCTTTTTAAGGTGGTAGTGGCGACCTTAAAATCATGCTCAGTGTATCAAAAGAGCTGAACTAAAATTGATTTACTGATAATAAGGCATCAGACAGTAACTCAAACATCAAGTTCGTGGAATTACATTAGCTCAGTGAGGTAATGTGAATTATTGCATACTGATTGTTCTTCTATAAATAAGAATAGGGAAACAGAATATTCTCCAATAAAGGTCATCAACGAGACAGAAATACATTAAAAATAAAAAGTCTTATAGGGAAAAAAGAGGGCTCCTTGGTAACAGAAAGCCCAGGACACCTCCCCCCAGCCTCACCTGCTATAGAGGCTTTTCTTTCTGCCTCTTGTCACTTGGTTATTTGTTGGAAATATGTATTAGTAAAATATCTTTCAAAGCCCAATGATATAATTTATGTAAAGTGTTATGCAAATACAAGTTTTTGTTATTAATATTAATAGTAATAGTTATGGTAATTATCTTGCCTGAGCCCCTGAAATCAGGTAACAATTGTAACAAGAGCTTTAATTTTAAACCTTTCCTTTCCTGGGATTAGAGTTGCCTTTTTCTTCTTCACTGAATTCTGCATTGGCCCAGGTGTGGCCTGAAATGCTGTGTACCCTGTATGTGCCAGCACATTCCTGTGAGTGTCCTTGCATATATGTGCAGTGTACACACATATGTGGTTTTGTGAATTATGTTCCTCCCCACCTCAGCTTGCTTGTACAGCTGCACATTAAAAAACTCTTTTGTTTCACAAACTTGTTTGAAAGGGCGCTGAAACATTTGGGTTGGAGAGTGGGATTTTACTCCCACATTTTTTGCTATTAATTAGACAGGCCTCACCACCAAATCCTCTCCTGCTTCCCTGGAGGATGAAGGGTCTGTGAGCAGCTAGATTTGTATCTGGCTGTCATTGTTTTGGGCCTGTGCCTACCCACACAAGGTGATTTGAATGTCGCCGAGAGGTTGTGAAATGAGACATTTCTAGATAGGCCCCCAAATGTATATTTAGCATCAAAAATGTTTTGCACTTAATTCTTTTAAGCAATTGTTTCAATGCATGTTGGAGACAGTCTGAGTAACACTATTAATTGGCCAGAGATTGGCATGTAATCAAATCACATCTGCTTTAAAAAAAAAAAACCCCGAACTCTCTTTATTAAAAGAGCATAAAGTATAAATTGATCCATAACAACTTAGCTCTCTACTTGTGGTTTAAAGATGATATCAAGTAAAGTAAGATCAGTACCTCCTCTAATCTTTAATTTTTATCAAGCACTTCTTAGTTTGCTTTGGTATTTCCTTTATCCTGTTTCAGAGAGAATTTTCACATCTTCTCCTTGCTCTCTGAGGCTTCTAGTGTATTCTAGCTTCTTTCCCTCCTGGTGCTGCTGCCTGGAGCCTCAGTTCTTGGCTTCCTTCCATTCATCACAGGAAAGCACTGAGTCCTGGGCACCTTGACTCTCTCTGAGTTCCTTCATCACTCTAGGGCTTTCTTTTTCTTTTTCTTTTTTTTTTTTCACAGAGCTAGCTTTATTTTCTTAGTGAGTCCTAGATACTGCTGTTCTCTTTTCAGCACCTAAAGTGGCAGGATAACCCTTCCCACCTGCCATGTGCCCACATGAACAGGTGTGTTCTACCCACATAACCCTCTTTCCAATGCATTGTGTCATTTCTTCCTTGCTCTGAGGCTTACTATTTGTTACTCACTTGTACATAGCCTAGGCCTCTGCTCCTGCAACATCAATTTTCACCCCTGCCAAAGAATTTGCCAGCAACTAAAAAGAAATCTCCACCCCTCCTCTTATTTCTGTTGCTTAGATTGAACACAATGGTGAAACTTGGGATGTGCAGTGGTTTCTCAGGAAATAGAGGCACAGTTATGGCTTTCCAGAGGAACACAGGCAATGGACGACAAGGTCAGGCATTGAGTTAGGTG